TATCAAAGAGAAATACACAATTTCATTTAATTTTAAAAACTTCAGAGACACAGAATCTCATATTTTATATTTACTGATGGGATGTAAAGTTTAAATAACTTCTGACCTTTAAAAAAAAAAAGGTTTTAAAATCAGTACCTGGGCAGGAAAAATGCGCGTGATTTCTGCACACTACAGGTTGATGTCAGGCCTGATTAAAAGATAAAGTAAACATGTCTGCAGCTCTGAGTCACCTGTAATCTCTCCCAACACAAAGTGAAGCGTCGCTAACTTAACTAAGGATGTTTATATTTAAAGGGCACGTGAACGAGCTGCTGTGTGGCGCAGTCTGAAGTCCGGTAATATACTCATTATTATAATGAATCTGCCTCTGTGTGTGTGTGTGTGTGTGTGTGTGTGTGTGTGTGTGTCGACTTTAATGTTTCTTTTATGCATCTGTGACTCTGCAGTGTTCATGTCTGTGTCACAGTGTTTGTTGTTGCATCATGTCTGATATTCTCTAAAAGTCTAACCAGGAACAAGGACTGCACATTAGCCACGGCTACATGTCCTATATCACATCTTCACTTTACTCAGCTGTGAGAATGCCTGCATGTACCTACTGTCCCTGACAAATTAACAGATAAATAAATAAATGAAATATCCTAAAGATGGTCTACAGAAACACCGTTAAATATGGAGGGGACAAACATCAACATTAGACACACTTTGCTTTTACCTGAACGTCTTTACCTGCAGCTCTGGACTCTTTACGTGCAGCTGTGTACAGCATGGACACGTCAGGTATTTATGTTGTGAATAATTTCCATTGAAGAGACATGTTTGATGACGTTTTCTTGCAAGTTGTTGATTTTCTTTCAAACGATATTTGCCACAGAAAGTCTCGAAAAGATGAAAACATTGTGTGTTTGTTTTTAACAGTCTCACCTTCAGCCTTCTGTATTTAATGTTGTGTGTGTGTCAATAAATAATAAAAAATAACATGAGAAAATCAACTTGTGCACTGTGTTTGTGTTTGTGTGGAATGAAAACAAAAAAGTCTAATTTACAGGCTTATCTAAAATCCTGAATCAGCAGCAGCATCCTTGTCATCAGTTTGTTTACACTGCTTGTCGATTAGACTATATAACATTTTGGAAATTAAGAAAATTCATTTTCAGCAAAATACTGAATTTATAAAACACTCCAGTGACGTCATCACACGTACAATCAGGCTGCTTAAGCTGTTTTTAATTCTGTTAATTATTCCCCTCCCTCCTGTTGGACGCTGCTTTCAAAAAGCGACATTTACATCCTTTTTCTTTTTTTTTTTTTGGTTTTCGCTACTGCAAAAAAAAAAAAAGAGGAGTCGATATCTCATTCAAACCCTGCACGTGCACTCTGCACATCCGTTATCATTTACCTATAAGTGATGACGTTTACTCGGTGATTAAACAGCAGGTTTTGGGGGCGTTGAACGCTGTAAAGTACAGGATGAATAATGTCGCCTGTTTAGCTGCAGCATGCAGGCAGGCCTCGCGGGACGAGCATGCAAAAACTCACCCATGGCATGCAGGGAAAAAAAACAACACTCGGCTTCTGTTTATTTTCCTGTGATTAAATATGAATTTATGCATTTTGACAAACCTCTCATGGAGGAACATCTGCACACGAAGCCGGAACGATCTCCCTGTAGATATTTCTATTTCGCTGCAACACTCGAGAAAATTCCTTTTCTGCCTCGCTATCTTTTTTGCCTGATTCTATTTATTCTGCAGCACATGAATGGTCATTTCAAGGTCACAGCAATGCCCCCTGACCCCTGACCTCTGCTTGTAATATCGGCGGATGCAGGATTTAATGCAGGCCCATACATGTCCCTCAGGATAAAACGCATCACGCAGGCAGCTAAATGGTCAAAAGAAAAAAAAATCTAAACACGCTCTATATTGGCTTCAGATTAAAAGCTTATTCCACACCCAGCATATTGAAAGTCACTTTGGATGAAGGCACGGCAGCTAAGTGGCTAAAATGTGAGTATTCCTTGGTTTTATTTATGGCCCTGGATGTGTAATGGAGGGTTTGATGCTCTCACTGTAAGTCCCTCTGAGAGCATCAGCTAAACGGCTGCAATGTTAATGTTTTGGCTGTAATGTTGCTGATCCTACTGCTGGGAGGAAAGTGACTCTGGATGGGAGTTAATGCTTTAAAATGGCTCCTATAGTGATGTAAAATATGCAGCGTACTGTGCACATAATTTCATCAAAGAATTTGATTTTCTAGTCATATTTAGGAATTTGTATTTTTTTTTTTCTTTTTTTTTCGTTATTGGATTATCTGTGACTCCTTGTGACCTAGTGCTGATAAATTCGGGACCTGAACGCCCCACCGAGTGTCAGCTTGCCCGTGAAAAAAAACTTGGGGGCCTTTGCAGCTCGGGTGTCAGCCTCCCTTCTCGGATTTTGTAGCCACAGAAGGTGAACTTTCACCCCGACCTTCCAGAAGGACCTTTTATTTTCACTCTGTAGCTGTTGACCATTTTTACCTCCAGCTACTCGCCATCAGTACACACACACACACACACACACACACACACACACACATCCCTCCGTGCTGGCTGCGCGCGGGGCGGATCGATAGGGCAGCATCTGCTCCGGGAAGCCGGCGGTCCCACACCGCGCACCGCTCCGCTGTTTCCAAACGCCAGAACTGCTCATCTCTGAAAATTAAACTGACAGACAGATATGATTAGTATGCGCGCTGCCTCCCTGCTCTGTCTGTCTGTGTGTTTCTCTCTGAGGCGCGCAAACATGCACGCACAGGCCTCACCATGCAGACTATGTTATATGCTGCTTATATGCACACACACACAGGCGCCAGTGCACATTAATGGGAACGCGCGCTTATACAGGCAAAATGTGTGCACAAATGGTTTCACACACAGTCGCAGGTTAGACACATTAAATGCTCGCTAAAATGCAGTGGCCTACTCTTGCGCACGCACGTACACGCACGCGCGCCCAGCAGGCCCATCCTGCAGTGTATCTGTTCGCTTCTTGCAGCAGCAGGTTGAGGGTCTTCTGAAGGAAAAAAAAAAAAAAAAAAAGGGTCGCATTGATCTTGTTGAGGGACTTTCCAGACTGAAGTGTTGGCGCTGTGAGTGAATGGAGCCGCGAGCTGAGTGCTGATTAAGAGCTGGCCTAAGCACGAGCGTCACTTGACAGCATTTATTCCTGAAAGGTTGAACAAGATGAGGTGTCAGAAAGAGAGAAGTTAAAGAAATGCAAACAAAACAACAACAACAAAAAAAATCCTATGTGAACGTTTGGTACTTCAGAGAAACAAACAAAAATACAAAAACAACTAAACGTCGTTATGTGACGACCTGGGAATAAGATGGCGAACAGCAGAGCAGAAATTGATTTTTTTTTCTCTCCTCGAGTCAATAAGTTAGAGAGGCTATTTACATAACTGCATATTCATCCTGAATTTGTTTCTTTCTTTTTTTTTTAATCATCTCAGGGCCTTCTCATCTGGTCCTGCACTGATTTAAAATATTATAAATCAACCAAAAATGTCTCCATGAACGTCTTAAAATGATGTAAAATAAACCACAAAATCTTTCTTTATCCCACTGTTTCTGTATGTGGCAGATAATTCAACACGGTGACAACAGCAGCAACAGCCTCACTTGTTACATATAAAAGAACTAAACGACATTAGCTGCAGCTCGTAAAAATCCATTCATCACACACAATAAACAGCCGAGCTCAGCAGCGACCACGATGTGCGCACATAATTCATAAGTTGTGCATGCAATCAGCTGAAGAAGGCTTAACCTGTGTGGTTATTAGAAAGAGAGCATCTTCAACCTCCACCCCCCCCCCCCCCTCACTCACACACCTCCTCCCCTCGTCACCCATCAACCCCCAACCCCCCACCCCCTCCGGAGAGAAAGGGTTAATTGGAGTAGGAATTTCATCGCACATCTGTCAGATTTTTAAGGCCGTGACGCACTGAAAGCAGAGAGTCAATGTGAGCAAAAAGGGGGAGGAGGAGGAGGAGGAGAAGGAGAAAGAGTTGGTGGTGAGATCGATGAAGTGGCAGGCAGAGAGGGAGGAGGAAAATCTCACGAGATAATGAAAGAAAAAAGAGGAGAGCTGCTAGTGTAGAGCGAAAAAACCAAGCTACAGACCCGGAGATTTTTTTTTGGCGTGGAGTGGGAAAACAAAGAGTGAACGAGGAGCGCGCCAGAAGATTCGTCCGTCTGTATCGCCGCAGATGGTTGTTTTGCACTCTGCTTTTGGTGAATGTAGCACCCCGGGGCGCAGAGGACCAATTGTGTGAATCTGCAGGGCTGCTCGGCGACACAATCGGAGACATGCACAGGACGGACAACAGCCGCGGACGCGCTCTGAGAAGTGGAGAATAAAAAAAGGTAGGATCCTGCAGATCTATGAAGCATCACATGTCGATGATTTTCTCTCTGAATCCCCGTCGTGTTCGGCAGTTAGTTACCGATTCGTTCAGATTCATTACATGTGGTGTAAATATGCAAACGCACTGGTAATGTCGGGCTCCTCGCATGCGCGCTGCGTCTGTATTCATAACTTTGCATAAGGGTGAAAAATCACGTTTTCCAAAATGAGATTTGGTTGAAGTGGTTCAAACAGAGCTGTCGTTGATTTCTCGTGTGTTCCGCGGGATGTGTGAGCGCAATTGATTTAAATGCTGCTTTATTTTGTATCATTTGGCACAAACGAGTGTGAATCAGTGCTTAAGGCTGAGAAAATAAACGTTTTTTTTTTTTTTCCGGTTGTTTTTGTCCTTTTTCTGTACCGATGAAAGTTTAAATACAGAGGAGTAACAGCGCCTGTCTTGTCTCACGCAGGCACAAAAGCGAGGCTTCTGCCGAGGAACAAACCAAAGAGACAAGAGAGCAGAGTGCTGCTGCTGCTGCTGCTGCTGCTGCTGCACAAGACAGAATCCAAAAAAAAAAAAAAAAAAAATCACAGCAAAAAGCTCCTGATGCTGCTGCAAACCCGTTCTCTGGGAGTTTGAGGGAGTTTGAAGACAGTACTTAACGTTATCAGATAATTAATTAGACACCCCATAAGCCCGGAAATCAATTAATTCACAAATCAATAAATCCATAGTCTGGTGTAACAAGAGACCTTCCAGACTAGCTAGCGCGGCTGTTGAACAACAATAACAAGAGAAGAAGAAGAACAACAACAACAACAAAAGGGCGAGAAGTGCACATTTATTTCCTGAATTTGAAAGATGGATGGGAGTCTAGGGGAGATGTCGCTCCACAGCCACAGCCACTCGGATCTGGCGCACAGTCAGGACGGCAGGGCCATGCTGCACTCGCGGGACCTTTCAGCTGCTTTCCCCAGGCCCTCCCTCGGGGGACCCTCCATGTCTCTGGAGCACGAGCCCCGTCCGCCGGGCTTCGACCACTCCATGTCCGCGTTGGGCTACAGCGGCGACTCCCCGTCCAGCTCCGGAAGCACCTACACCACCCTGACCCCCCTGCAGCCCTTTGATGACAAGTTCCACCACCACCACCACCACCACCACCCATGTCTCCCAGTCAGCAACGTCATCGGCAGCTTCACCCTCATGCGTGAGGACCGGGCGCACCTCAGCACCAACTTCTACAACCCCTACGGCAAAGATCTCGCCATGTCCCAAAACCTCTCGCCCCCCTCCACAGGTTCAGGCCTTGGCTCCTCCATGCACGGCTACGGCAGCCCCAACGCCAACGGCGGCCAGATGCTCCATGGCGGCTATGACGTCCACAGTGGGAGCCTTTTCTGCAGGACGTCAGATTTCGGCCGTGAGATGTCGCCACCGGGCCTGGGAGGAGGCGACGTGTCGGTGGGGCATCAGCTGAACAAAATGGAGGCTCACCAGCATCCACCGAGCCACCACCCTCACCTCTACAGCCAGCACTACCAGCCTCACCATCACCCCAGCCAGCAGGCCTCCAAGATGTCCGAGCACCTGCACTCCGCCTCCTCAGCCGCGTCCTCGCCCGGAGAGGGCATGCTGTCGGGCGGCGGTGGAGGCGGCGAGGAGATCAACACCCGGGACGTGGCCCAGAGGATCATCACCGAGCTGAAGAGGTACAGCATCCCCCAGGCCATCTTTGCCGAGAGGGTGCTGTGTAGGTCACAGGGCACACTGTCTGACCTCCTGAGGAACCCCAAGCCCTGGGGCAAGCTCAAGTCCGGCCGCGAGACCTTTAAGAGGATGTCCCGCTGGCTGCAGGAGCCCGAGTTTCAAAGGATGGCCTCGCTCCGGCTAGAGGGTAAGATCAGGCTTTGCTCTCTCTCTCTCTCTCTCTCTCTCTCTCCCTCACACACACACACACACACACACACACACAGAAACCACAACAACAAACACACTCTCTCTCTCTCTCCCCATGTTTTCCCCAAACACCTTCCTTCTCCATGTCTTCCAAAAAAAAAAAAAAAAAACCTCCTTCCAGCACTCAGTATGCAGCTCAGGTTGAGACATGAGGAAAAGCATCACACTGATGTTTCCCTCCTTTACACCACTGTGAATGTTCCACTGGTTCTTCTATTGTCTCAACAGCCGGGGCAATAAGAACTTAGCTTCTCATCGAGGTCAGTTTGAGCTAGAAAAGAGGCCATATGTGCCGTTCCTTTGTTTACTTTGCTCCCAAACAGCTCCTATTGATTAGTACAGTAGCTACAATAAAAAAAAGCCACAGACATTTGCCCTCCTCTTAAATGAACCATGAAGATCAGCGTGAGCAGCGGGCTCGCAATTTAATCGCTTTTGAGCCCACAAAATAATTTGTGCAGATATGCCACTCTGGAGCGATTGATTAATTCGAGCAGTGATTTATATCTGCTCAGCGCGTGGCTGAAGTTGACTTGGCAAGGTAGCTGATGCAAATTAGACTTGAGCTTTTGCCAGGCGTCCTTTATCAACGTCGTCACCGAGGCAATTACTGCGCGGCTAAATACAAATGTTGTTCTGCTCCGAGGCAGCCACCCTTCTGCACGAGGTTCTGCACATCTGGAGCAACGAGAGAGGGTGTTGCTGAAATGTAATTCTGTGGCTGATCGATTAGTCAGCCAACAGGAAATTAACTGACTCGGATAATCAATTAATACATTTCACGTCTGAATGGGGGGAAAAATGCTGAGTGTTTGTGAACTCCAGCTTCTGAAATTGCAAAAATGTAAAATGTTTTTTCTTCTTTTTTTTATTTTTTTATTTTTGTTTGTCAGACAAAACAGGCAAATTAAAGATGGAGGACGGACATTTTCTAAATTCTTTAAATCTTTTTTTTTTCAGACATTTTCTGATCTATATTCTCAGAAAAAAAATAAAAATAAAGCAATGAATCCATAATTGTAAAAAAATCATTGCTTTCAGCCCGTGCCGTATTCATACAGATTTCACACAGTAAAGATTTTTTTTTTCTTTCTTTTGAAAGGCACATTGTAATCTGCTGCTTGACATTTAATATTCTTCGGGGATGTGGGCAGAAGACACGACAGCACGCTGTACAGGGCCGTGTTACAGTGTTGTCCCTCCACAGGGACCGAGGGCCCATCTGATACACGGCGCACAGAAAGAGATCCAAGTGAACACAGTAATATGAGAAGAGCGTGGACGAGTGTGTGTGTGTGAGTGTGTGTGTGAGTGGTGTGTGCTCTCTGCGGGGGTCTGTGAGCGCTACGTGTGTGCGAGCCTGCCCAGTTGATCACTGCTTTTCGCTCTCTGTCAGCAGCTCGACTGATTAAGCCCAACAACACAATAGGGTTCATAGGTAATGATTGTGCACTCTTGCAATCCCTTCACAATTATTGATCTTTGATTGTTGGGCTCTGAGAGCACATGTGTACATCCTCCATTCAGCAAAACGTTACAGCAATCACACCCTAAAAAGCCCTCTTATCTAAAGATGACTTATCTCGGGGTTTTGTTCTTTCATTTGACAGAAATGTGTTTTGATGAAGCCAATCCCGAGAATGAGTGAGTGCTTTGTATGCAAAACGCCTCGTCTGTTCTTACAAAAAGCCAATCTTCCCGGTGATAAAACAGCTCCTTTGTTCGTCTGTTCTGATCATCAATCATTCTTTCTTTATTTCCAGCTTCCTTGTTTCCTCTTCTTTACAAACACAGACGTTATTTTAACGAGTCAGTCCTCCAAGTCCGAGCAGCCGATCAATCAGGCTCATAAAAAATTAAGCTCCCTACACAGAGAAGTGTGCTAATGTTTGACGATGCTGCTCTCTCGCTCGCTCGCTCTCTCTCTCTTTCCACACACTCTCTGAAAATTGCATATTTACTTCTTGGCAAAGAAGCCACAATTTGGACAGCTCGGCACTTTTCTCCATAACCTACTTTCCAAAGGAGGTTGTTGTGTGTTTTTTTTTTCCCCCCACTTGGCCAACCCCCTTTTGTTTAATTACAAGCCTCTATTGATTTCCATGGGAAAGAGCAGCACGCCTTGCCCACACACACCTCGGCCGCATCGGCAAATCGAGACTGGAATTAGAATGCGCGGTGCCCTGTGCTCCCCCGGTCTGAAGATAGCTCAAGTGCTCTCAGCTTCACGCCTCAAGTTTTAAGATGATCCTCCTTAATGCAGCACTCGCTTAAACACATGGAAGGCCCTTCAGTGTCAGGCTGCAGCGCTGTGTGTTTTTTTTTATTTTTCATAACTCTGTCTCTTAAAGGGGCTGCAGAGCGCTCACAGTCATTATTAAACGAAGCTGCTGCCATTTTGTCTCCTCCAATGATTGTCTTTCTGCAGAGACATTTTGCTAAACAAGGAGGAGGTGATCCCTCGGATTTATCCGCAGTATCTTGTGTTATTTTTTTTCTTTGTGTGTGTGTGTGTGTGTGTGTGTGTGTGTGTGTATACTCTATGGATTACTGTATATGAGATGCATCTCTAGCCCAACCTCAGGCTGTGGAGGAGGCAATCAGGATTTAGTCGGAGAAGAAGAAGAAGAAGAAGGCGGGATAAAGACCACACAGCCTATGCTTGGACACTTAAAGTCAAGGAGTGGCGACGGAGGGGGGGGATCAGAGACTATAACTTTAAAGATGATGGCCGAAGCCCTTGACTAAAGGTCTAAATGAATAAGAAAGGTCAATGCGGTTTACGTGTCGGCTCTGTTGCCTGCACCACCCCCACAGTAATGAAAGCCACAAAGCCTCGTCCACCTCTCGCTGCGTACAGTCCACGCTCTACGGCTCAAAGGTCACAGCCGATTCCATTTGCATATCGGCAATCGTAAAGCAGGCTGACGTGGCCTGAGCTGCGTAGCACCGAACAAACACGGTTGTCTTGTTGGTTTTTTTTTGTTGTTGGTTTTTTTTTTATTTATCTGGCTCCTGCAGCCTCTCCGGCGCTGAAGGGGTTAACCAGCCTCTGTGGGTCGAGGAGTCTGAGCTGCACAGATTTAATCAATAATTTCTATCAGCCCCTGGCCCAAGAAATCAGCAGGGGGTGGGCTGGGGGGGGGGGGCAGGAGGGAGGGGTTGTGGGGGTGTTCTGGCTAGGAGGAGGAGGAGGTGTGTGGGTGGGTGAGGAGGGGAGGGGGGTGGGGGGGGGGGTGTAGGTTGAGACGCCGGGGGGTAGGGAAAGGGCTTTCGATCACGTTTCAGCAACACGAGGCAGGGGCATACATCATGATTAGGGGCTGTTCCCACGATCATAAGAAGCCTATAGGGGAATATTTATGTCTCCAGGAGTAGCCCCCTCGCCGCCGATTTATAGCATGGTAATTGTGAGCCTTTTACACATGATTACAGCATAAGGAAGCATTTACTTAATGGTCGGCGTTATGATCGTCAGGAAGCCAGAGAGAGAGAGAGAGAGAGCTGAGGACGGGGAGGAGGAGGAGGAGAGCGTCAGGACGCCCTGACTCCTCCAACGAGCCATAAATCCGCGCTACAAGCGAGCTAGCCAGCACTATCATGTCATTCCTTTCATTACTACTCAGGCTGAGAGTGCACCGCCGTGTAGACCATCCATACATGCAGCTCAAGCTCCTCCCCCCCCCCCCTCCAGCCCAGAAATATCGATGGTGGAGACGGCGCAACGCCCGTGAAAAATGTAGCATTTGGGGAGAGAAAAATAATTTCACTTGTAGTGATATTGACATGCCGTTGACATCTCGGCCTGTTCAGATTTTAATGAGACGCGGCTCGATAACGCTCAGAAATGCAAACGAGCCCTGGATGCCTAAAAGCTAACGGGCACCTGTAATCTCAAGTTGACAAGAGCCGCATCCCCTCGTCCAAGCATTTCCCCTCAGATAATGATTTTAGAGGAGAGTATTCTCTGGAGAAAAAAATCTGATTTATTCACGTCCAGCGGAGTGCTTCTTAAGTTTCAGAAACTTCGGCTGGATGTCGGAGCAATCAGAGCCCGACCACGTGGCGTCCGAGCCAGCTGTGAGGCAGCCGCTTAGTGACGACGCTCCAGTGGAAAAAAAAAAAAAAAACTGGCAGTAAGGTCACACTTATTTCTCAAGCACTCTGCTAATGGGGAGGAATTTGCCACTGTGAGTTTTGAAGAGCCGCTCATACAGTAAACATCGGCAGCAGGCGCTGTGTGAGATGTTTGTCGATGGCGAGATGTAAGCCAATCAATCGATCTGGTCACTGCTGCTTCGAGGGCGTGTGGTTTATTTATTGTATGTTGGAAGCGTGATTGTGTCTTTGTGTGTGTGTTAGGGTGTAAAAACACGTGATTTCAAGGTTATCCCAGATTGATATCTCCATCCTAACAAGTCATCTTTGTCAATAATGGAGTTCCATCAACAACAAGGACAGATGTGAAGCAGATCATACCTAACACATTTTTACTTGTTGATGGTGGTTTTTACGAAGAACGAAGCGTCAGTTTCCTGCTTCAAAATGACTCGACTCCAGCAAGTGCAGAATGCTGCTGCCCGGATTTTATCCATTACAAATCTCAGGTCCCACATTACCTCGATCCTCCCCTCCCTCCGTTGGCTTAAATCTTTAAAATTATTCTAAAATCCATCCTGTGTGTCGTTACACACAGGATGGATTTTAGAATAATTTTAAAGATTTATTTTTTGGGCGTTTTGTACCTTTATTGGAGAGAGAGAGAGGACAGTTGAAAGAGTTGGAAATGGAGGGAGATAGAGAGAGAGAGAGAGAGAGAGAGAGAGTAGAGAATGACATGCGGGAAAGGAGCCACAGGTTGGATTCGAACCTGGGCCGCCCGCTTGGAGGACTACAGTCTCCGTAACCCCCCCCACCACATTACAGAACTTTTGGCTCCTTATGCTCCAAGCCGAGATCTCAGATCATCAGGAGCACCTTCATTAGTCGATACTAGATCAAGGCTGGTAACCAAGGGCGACCAGGCGTTTGCCATCAGAGCCCCTAACCTCCCTACCTGAAGACTGTAGAACAGCACACTCTGAACCTGTTTTTAAATCCTCGTTTTAAACATATTTTTATAGGAAGGCCGTTTAAATGATGTCCTGCGTTCATTAATTTAATTATTTCTTTTTCATAATTTATAGCTCGCCAATGTTTTCATCCTCATTTAGATAAGTGCTACATAAAAACTGTTCTTCTTCTTCTTATTAATATATTTATTTTGGTTTTCAGATTTTTGTTTCCTGAAAATCCTCATTTGAGGGTTTAAACGATGTTAATGTTCTGGTGAATTTCCTGCCGTTAAGAAACATTTTAGCCTCTAAAAATATTCATAATAATAAAATTTAAACATAAAGTACCTTTTAAAACCTGAGTTTTACAGCAACATGAAGATATAAAGCAGAGCAGCACGCTAACAATACTTACAAAGTTACAGCAAAAGCAAACAAAACCTTTCAAAATAAGATGTTTTTGTGTGTTACGTTTACACTTTAGTCACTTTAGCCTCGGAAAGCTTCCCAGAATCAGACTCAGCTTTTTTGAACATGTATGCTTACACACACAAGGAATTTGTCTTTGTTAACTCTCAATGTACAAACGTACAACATTAAATATCAACATTAAATAAGCAAAAACACTAATACAAAGCTAAATAAGACAGTAGTGCAGTGGTGAGCAGTGCAAAAATGCCGAGATGAGATTGAGAGTAAATGTGTGATTATGTAACAGATGGTTAATTTACATGAGGTAGAGTTTTTCAGTTCCAAAATAAAAGACAAATGTAACAAACTTAATGAGTTAGCATTCTAGTTTAAGTAAGGAGTAAATAAAATAATTTATATATTTAGAAAAAATCATCACAGCACAATTATGTTAATTGCAAAATAAAAAATGTCCTAGTCAGATTTCTGTCTTCTAGTCCAGCAGCAAACCGAACCGCTGCTCCTCCTTTAGTGTGTGTGTGTGTGTGTGTGTGTGTGTGTGTGTGTGTGTGTGTGTGTGTGTGTGTGTGGGTGGGCACTCATTTGTGTGTGTGTGTGCACTTTAAGTGTGCACACAACACCAGTGCTTACTCCTAGAAACTCGTTTGATACCCTCAGCAAAACGGTCGCTCAGCCGCACGGCACTGATTGAAACCTCTTAAAAGTGTGCATTTAGGTAATTGCACGAATTCCCCCCCCCCCGAAAAATATGTTTGAGTCCACTTAAGGCTTGGAAACACCGCGGGCAATGCCGAGTCTGCTCGTTTCACTCACCCCTGACGTAACCCCGCCTTTAATAGAAAATAAATTAGTTCCCCTCTAAAGTGATTATTACTCACTCGCCGCCGCCACATGTAAATGACTTTTATGAGAAACTAATGATGCAGAAGTGTCCACTCAGGGAACGGAAGAGAGGATGTGGAAGGAGATGGTCGCTGGAGAGAGGGGGGGGGGGGGTTTGAGGGAGGAGAAGTTGGCTCGGTACACAAAGGCATAAGGTTGGTGTTGTGTTTCCTGTAAATACAGAATTACAGCGTGTTAGGGGGGAAAGGTTCAGCGCGAGATATGCAGAGGAACATGCAGCCTGGATTTAAAACGCTCGTCTGATTCTCAAAATGGATCTGAGCTCGGCCCACGCACATCAGGCTATTTTTTTTTCTACCACGCTGGATCCGGGTTTTTTTTTTAAAATCTTTTAATCTTGAGACTTTTTGTGAGGAAATATTGATTACATAATTGGACAGGCTTCTGCTGCTACACTGGTGTTTAACCCAGACCTTCCATTTTTTATTTTCTCTGGTTTGGTGTAAGCAGCACTGACATTAAAAAACTCAAAATAAGAAAAGACTTCATCACCTCTGCAGGCCATTAAAAAGGTTTAAATGCAGCCAACTCTGACATCGAGCTAATTTAGTAAGAAATACTGATTTCTTCATCCTCTCTGGACCAGAGTGAGAATAACCAAATCTCTTTCACGAGGGAGTCCTGGCCAAGACAGCGGCACAAAAGTTTCACACAGAGAACAAAAAACCGACCCTTACGAGCAGAAATGACATGAGACGAGACGTTTCTGCAGCCGTAAGGAGTAAGACGTGTGCAAAAATTGGTCAACTGATCCTTAGTCTCGTTTTTTTTAAATCATCCAAGCTACAGCTCGTTTGCAGGATACAAACACAGTGAATCTCTGCATCTCTAAGTGGGATGTGTTTTTTTTGGAATACATGGCCGTCAGTCTTTGATGAAGACATGTAATTTAGCTCTAATGTGCATGCAGGATGTTAATAAACGCAGCGTGAGAGCTTAAGCCTGGGCACCAGGTTTCTGTTTCATCCCAGCAGCAGCTCGCTGGCAACAAGACGTGAGGTTGAGCGTCTTGATTCCCTCACCGCACAAAGAAACAAGTTGCTGATTCATCTCTTTTAACTAATCAAATGTTGCTTAGCTAATCTGTTTTCTTTCAACAAATCCACTTTCGCTCGGCTTAATCCATTTGTCCTAGTTAGGCAGAGAGTGTGTTAGCTAACCTGTTTCCCCCTTTTTTTAATTTCTCCTCCATCCGTGTGCCCGCAGCTTGCAAGCGGAAGGAGCAGGAGCAGAGCAAGCTGGAACGCAACCAGGGCCCCAAGCGCACCCGACTGGTGTTCACGGACCTGCAGCGACGCACGCTCCTGGCCATCTTCAGGGAGAACCACCGCCCCACCAAAGAGCTGCAGGTCACCATCTCCCAGCAGCTCGGCCTCGAGCTCTCCACTGTCAGCAACTTCTTCATGAACGCCCGCCGACGCAACGTCAACAAGTGGGCGGACGAGGGCCGTCCCTCCTCCACGGGTTCCTCGGGCTCCAGCGTCTCCTCCTCCGCAGTGTCCTGCAGCACGGCATGATGACCGAATGCCGTGGATGTGCGGCGGGGAGGGCGCCGAGGGAGCAAGGGGGCACATAGACTGGTCTAGGCAGAGACCAGCCGTAATAAATGTCCTCCTCGTTATCAGAAGGAGCGACGGAGCCAGCTACTATAGATGATTTTATGAAGACGAAGCATTTTTCCCAAACCAAAGTTGATCGCTCCCTTGAAATGGAAGGGGGGCGATACCCAGAGTGATATGAGCGCAGGATGCGAGGGTCCTGCTTGTATAGTCGAGGGCGCAAAAATGATTTGACTCAAAGACGAGTCACGCCCTCACATAGACTTCATCTCATTGCGTTATTTTGATTATCTAGATTAGAGATAATGAGGGTATTACAAATCAGGAGAAAGCATATTTTGGTGTACCTTCAAATCTGTAGTCATCTCTCCAAACGTGAAGAATCAAGAGGTGCCGTTTGCTCACACCTGGAGAGCGCCATCGTGTAACTTTTTAATCAAAAGTGTTCGCCATCATCCAAAGACGTTTAACCTCCCTTACTGTTCTTATGGTTCCCTTTTTTTTCCTCACAAATCAAGGTGAAAGAGGAAGGAAAGGTTTTTTTTTTTTTCTCTCTCTCAAGAACCTTATTCCCCTTTCTTAGCATGTGTTTCCATGGCGACGGTTCCCAGGACTGTATGGCATTGTTCCAAGTTCCGAGCCTGGAATTATCAGGAGGGTTCTGTAGCGTCCGTGACTCCCAGCTGTCAATCATCCACCACCAACAGGAAGTCTTTTTCCTGTGGGTTTTTTTTTTTTTTTTTTTTTTTTTTTTTGCAAAGATGGTCCCACCTTGAATGAATCAGAGTTTTCAAGGGGGAACCGCATCGTGCTGCACGCCAGGACAGAATCAATAAACACAAGCGAGAAAGCAAAAAAACAGACTTATTGGTGCAACCGTCTAGCTTTAAGACTCTCAGCGAGCTTCCTAAAGAAAAGCTCCGCAGCCATTTTTTGACTCAAAATCAAGCCAAAAAAAACCAAAAACAAATGAGAAGAAGGAAAGCCAACCTTTGAACACAAAGGTGCACGGGGGAAGAGATACACCTGACACAATGTATAGTGACATTGTCGTATTTTTTCCACTCATACACACCTCTGCTCCATTACGAAATCTTTTTTTTACAGATGTCTAGAAAAAAAATGGAGGAATGTGATTCTTTCAGCCCTTTTTGTACAGATTTCAAGCACATCGCTCTATTTATAGAAAAAAAACACGTTGGAAGTGCGGGGCGGTTTGTTTCAGCCCCGCTGACGTACAAGGTCATTTTTTTGGTCCACAAAGGAAAGGCTTTAACACGCCTCCTTATAGCCAAGAGTCAAATCAAAACCAAGAACGTTTCAAATGCAATTGCTGATCTGATCAATGTATTTATTACTGCATTTGTGTATTTATTGTTTTCCCTTTTTTTTTTCCTCTCTATTTATTTGGTTATTTATTTATGCTATCTATATACTGTAAGTATTTATTTAACAATGCTCTGTATGTCTGTGTGAAACTGAAGACTTTTTCTGATGGGCACTTTTAGCTGTAGAATCCCATCGTAATACCAAAGATTAACATTGCCTCCCTGAATGTACGGCCTGAATCCCTAAAAACCCTCCAATACCCGATCTCGACCCAGCCCCGCCCCGCCTACCCTGTGATGTTCTGTATCTCCCCCTCTTGAAGGCCCGGCCTTTGTTTTTGTTTTTTGTAGGAAAATGGGGATTTCTTTACTTTTGCAAATGTCTCTGCGGTCCGCTCTAAATGCCAAGGCCAAAGCTTGTTTGAATGTTGTGATAATATTTATAATTATTAATACTATGAATAATTACAACAATAATAATAATAATAATAATAATAATAATTCTGATGATGTGGCATCCCATAGGTTCACAGGTTGCTTGTAAAGTTGTGTTCAGACCAATGCCATCTGGCGGAGTGTGTAAAGCGTCTGGGGACCCACTTAAAGCGCCGAGCGAAGGCCCCATTAAGTGCAAGTCCTTTAGGGTCACATGCAAACATGCGTACTGTGTGTCTGCCTGGGGAAAATGCATGGTTGTGACCCCCCTCCACATCTCCCTCACCAGCCCCCCCCCCTCACCCCAGTGCAGTGCAGACACTCCTGTCTACGTTCAACTCAGTGTGATCTCACCGTCCTCCACATGCCAAGCCCTTCTGCCAGTTGTCTCAGTTCCAAGAGGGTTTTTTAGGGTTTGTTCACGGACCTCTGGGGTTTGTAAGGCGGGTCCCTCATTTCTGGGGATCTTGGGTTTTTACTTTCCCAGGGTTCTGAATGTCTTACGGATTGTTCCTGGCTCTAAAGGGTCTCAGGATTTGTTTCTGGCCTTCCGCGATTCTTTCTGGATTGCTTCTCATCCTCTCAATCTCTGATTTGACTGTGAGGCCTTTGAGGCTTTTTGGGGAGGTTTGGTTTTGTTCCTCGGGTTCTGAAGGTCTTGGGGTTTGTTCCTGACCCTTTCTTTGTTATTATGGTGTCTTCCTAATGTCTTGGGATCTTAGGTTAATGTGCCCTGAGTTCTGAAGGTTTTCGGGGTATGTTCTTGGACCTTTGAGGAACTTAAGGTGTCTCACTTATCTTCTAGGGATCTTGAGTTTTGTTGGGTTCCAAAGGTCTTACCTGCTGGTCTTGGGTTGGAAATGTATGGGCACGTTTAGTCGACCAAATGGGTAAATATCATCCTGACCAGTCAGCGCCAGAATAACTAGTCGGTTAACAATGTATTTATATTCGTATATGCCAGTCAAACTGAAACGCAGTCACCCGCCACTAGCTGGGGTCTGTAGGCATAGACTGGCTGTATCTCCGGTTAATGGGCCTGCTCTCCCCGCTCTACTACCAGGATGTAAACAAGCACAGGGAACAGATAGCATTTCGTAGGAGCAGCTCGGTTTAGCAGGATTTCGATCAGTAAAATGTTGATAAAAAACATATGTAGGCCGTTTCACCACACTCAGCACAGACATGTGGAAATTAACCTGCAGGGAAAACCAAAGGCTGACGGTGCTAGCACTGCTAATGTTAGCCACTCTCTGCAGAAATTACATTGTTTACCTGCAGACAGTTTTGTAACCAGTTTAACCGACTAGGAAATCAGTCGCCTTGGAACGTCCCAAGAACCTGATTGTCAGGGATCTTTGGCTCATGTGCAAAGAGTTCTGGACCCCTCAGGAGTTGCCTGTTGTGATGGTCCTCTTGGCTGTTCCTCCTCTTCTGCAAAAGTTTATTCCTCATGCTAAAAGGAATATCTGATATTGTTGTCCTGTGGGCCCCAAGAGGTGGCTCCTGACCATTTAGGGTTTTGCAGACTGTATATGGCCTTCTTATGTTCTTCTGAGTTATTCCTCATGGTCTTTTGATTCCTGGTTGAATTTGAGGCCTCTTAGCCTGAGACACAACAGCGTCCATGTGTGTTGCGTACCGTCTGCGCCATACCCGAGGTTATACTCTATGTGTTCCCATGTTGGACTTCCTGTCTGAGTCCATCTGCTCTGTTCTGATGAACGTCTGCTGGAAAAGTAGACTCAGCGACTCAGCGTATGTCTAACAGAGCAGATTGGTGCTGCTTGAACACGACTCAGACGGGCTGTGGTGCTGACAGCGCAAACAAGAGTATTGACTCGAGAGGGCGCGACCAGCACCAGAGTGCGTGGAAAGGCAGAATGCGGCACACACGGATGAAGTGGGGTCTCCTGGATAGGCTTGTAGGCTTTGTCCTTGTACCTCTAGGTTCTAAGAATGAGATCCTCATCTTGTAGGTTGCTGCTGTTGGGGTTTGTGTCCTTTGCCAGGTGAGCGTGTTTGGGTTTACTCCTGATGATCTGGGGTTCTTGGGGTTTGTTTTAGGTTTTCTAACATTTTTAAGGATCCCTCCAACAACCTGCACAGGCACAAGTGATTTGATTTGTCAGCATTCTGCTTTGTGAATGCCTAAATCAGAGGAAAAATCACCCAAGACCAGATTCTTTGACCCTTGTGTAAATGCTGCCAAAGAGTGGCGAGGATAGCTTGGCGGTTTTCCACAGACTCTCTCTCTCTTTTATCTCTCTCGTTCTCTGTCTTTAACATTGGAAGGGGCGGATTGCCAGGGCCCCCTTCACAGCGCACACTTGAAAGACGGGCGGTCATGAAAGAGGCCATCGACTTTTTCGCAGACTTCAAAGGGGAAGCTTTTTTCATCCCGTCTCCTCTCTGGGTATCTGGTCTGGGGTCCGCTCTTGGCCAGACCTGTGGGCTTTAGGGGGCATTCAGAGGGGGCGGGAGGAGATCAGAGAGGAGGCTGAATCATCCAGAATGAGGACGGTGGTAGTGGTGTGTGTGTAGGAAAGGTGGGAGGGAGGCTGTTTGAGGAATAGGAGGTGTTGGAGTAGTGGGGCATGGAGCTGAATTAAACTTTAATGAGCAACAATTGTAAGCATGCTGAGAGCAGAGGGGGGCGGTGGTGGGGTGTGCGGTCGAGTCAGTACAGGGGAGGGGGAATAAAAAATAAAAGACCTTGGAGGCTCCTCTGCCGACCCCTGCTTGCTACTGTCATTGTATCAAAGCTGAGGTGACACCTTTCAGGTTTCTCTTTGTCCGTCTGACTGGGAGCCTAAAATGGAGACAGAGCTTTTTGTATTGAGCCACCTTCTGCTCCTGTCAAGTGGGAGAGATCTTCCCTTTACTGTGCAGGAGGGAGGCAGGAGGCAGGAGGAGGGAATCCAGTAAGCTGCTGCAGGTGATCCGCGTTGCTATGAAAGCCTGCGGCACCCCCTAGTGGCAGTCTTAGAAATTTGATCCAGAAACAAGTCTGGAAGCCGAGGCCGTCGCAGAGCCATTCCAAGGAGGGTAGAAATAAGAAGTTAGCAGAACTGAAAGCTTATTTGTACTTTCAGGATTTAAAAAGAAAAAAAGACAAAAAAGACCAGAAAAATGTAATTATTTTGATAAACCAAAAAAAAAAAAAAAACAACAACCAAAGATTGATGGGTGACTGCTGAATCAAAATGTATCAAGGGTAGTTTTAGCAGTTTCCTATCAGAGCTACCGTAGCACTCAGAGGATTCAAAAAGCACCAGTGGGGTTCGGCGTGCTGACTATTTATGTTGCATTAAACAGTATTATGTTGACCTGGAACTGAGAAACTGACATGAGGCAGTGTCTTCAGATGGAAGTCTTTTGACTTTGTGTCCTCCCCCTGTCTGTCCCCGCCCCCTCCCCTGTGTGTACATGAAGACTTTACCCATCTACCTCAACTGTGTGAGATGTTGTGTGGCAAAGATATTCCTTAACCAAAGAATCCATCCTGTCAGGGTGTCTGTCTAACTATCTATCTATCTATCTATCTATGTCTGTCCATCCGTCTCTTCTTCATGCCTTTTACTCCAAACCAAATGTGCTGGAATCAATCCGCAACAGGAGCCGAACGAGGCCCCCGTCCAGCCAAAGCTAAAGTCCAGTATGCTAGAGTGTCCCATTGATCCATGTTCTGTATATACGTCAAATCATTCTCAAGACCAAAAAAAAAAAAGAAGGAGGTGACAATCCAAGCAAGGAGGATCTTGCTGTAATCAACGTTGCCTATTCCTTGTTTTTCCAAAAGCTAGAATCGTGTGACTTGCTGTTAACAGAAAAGCCCAAGAATCAAGCACTCATCCCAAAATAAAAAAAGGTCGGAGGAGACAGAAGCTATTTTTCCACATTTGTAAGCCACCCCTCCCACCCCTGTTTTTTCCAAAATGTTTAGTGTAGTTGAAATACTGTTTGATCCCACTGTTGTAAGTAGGAATTAATGAAATCCATACAAAAAGCTTTAAACGGGGAAGAGCTGAGGGGAATATTATATTTGACTGAGTCGGACTTTCCTCAGCTCGGACCCGACCCACCATGCTTTATCGTGCCATTCTTGTCCATGTGTTAGACTTACTAATGAATGTGGCTAACCAACCAAAGGCTTTAAAAAATAAAAGATACACAACACTTTAAACGTCAATCATGGTGGGACATTTTGTATCAACAACTAAAGAAAAATCCCTTTGAATACCTCATGTGAAAATTGTTTGTTGTGATGTTGCACTAAAAAAATAAAAATGACTCATTTGTAACCCAACACCGCGCTCTGCCGACTTTGTTCTGACCTCGTTGGAGGTGTGAGCGAGAAGCTCCGGAGGTTTTTAAAGGGCAGCACCAACACAGTCATCCAGAACATTTCAATCTACAAATGAACTCTTACACTGGATTATATTTACTTTACAAGAATCAAGACACGACCCTCTTAAGCTGTTCAATTCCTTTAAAGAGGACATATTATCCACCTTTTCAAACAGTCCCCCTGTGGTCTAAATGAAACATCTGTGCTGTGCTTTGGTCCGAATATAACATGAATCAAGCACCAGAGGAGGTTTGTGACCCTATCTCATTCATCCTCACACGCACGCACGCACACACACTTACAAACTGTTGAGCCAGTTTGTGACACCGCAAAGAGAAAATGTGCAGACGACTTTTCTCCAAATTCAGACACGAAACAAGAGTGAACTGCACAGAGCAGGACAGTATGTGATCATGTTAGCATCTGCATGTTTTAAGTGCAAATTCTTTTGTGGATTGTGTGCTTAAAAGGGACAGATTGCGGGTAGTATTTCTGCCCAATTCATGTTGTTATTGGAGCCTGATTCAATAATAATATTATATAAGATTAATATATAATATATATAATAATAATGGATTCCACACATGGCACATCGTTTCTGTTGAATGATTTCCAGTTGTGGAAGAGGATAAGTCATGTTTGATTTAGTTAAAGCAAGTGCTTATGTTCTAATGTCTCAAGAGCATAATACTGCTAATATTTGGTTTATCATTGTCATAAGCTTGTTTTCTAGTGTCTTGTAATCCCATTCGAGTTGGCCGGCTGGGCCCCCTTTTGGTGCAGGAAACGTAGAAAAAATAAACTAATTCTACCACAGCTACTACGACTTCTGCTAGTTCTCAAATGTAAAGAAGCTATCTGCTTTTCTAATCTAAAAACACTTTCTGCTTCCTCCTTCACTAGAAACAGTATCCTGCCTGACTCTTTTTTTTCCCCCCACACTTCTTAAAAGGGGTGTGTCATATTATCAGTAATCAAGTGTGTACCATCACTAATCTGAATCACTTGAGACAGTTCGGCTGCAGAGAAACATCAGAACATTGGTGCTGGGACTTCATCCAGGTGAGAGCTGGTTACTCTAAAATGTCAGTGTTGTGATCTTATTACAAATACAGTTGAAAAGAAAAGGAAGTGCAAACAGTCCTGAGAATACATATAAACCTGATGATATATTATTGATACTGTTATTGTGGGGGTGGTTACTCTGCTATTTGTTAAAATGACAAGCATGTCTTTGCTTAAAAAAAAAAGAAGACATGTCATACTGCCTGTATCCAAATACAAAGGGATCATTCAAAAAGTAGAAATTATTTTATAAAAAACTGTTTGACTAAACTATTTAACATTCATCAGCTTTTAGACTTACAGAAAAAAAACATAAAGTGAATGACTCCCTGTTTCATTTTTCCATTAGTGCTGCTCATTGCTTCATTTATGTCACCGTGCAACACATTCCCTGTCTTGATCTCTTTAACTCTAGGTTTCAATCTGAAGAATGGCAGATAACGACATTAACATCACCATCCAGGATTACAGCTTTGAAGACTTCAACTACTTTGAATATGAGTATTACCAAAAAGACACATTCATAAAGCATGTGGTAACATGGATCATCATTAGTATCGGCCTTCCTCTGACACTCATTGCCATCGGTGCTCTTTGCTTTCTGGTATATACATTACTTATTAATTCACTGTCTGTGCCATGTGTTTGTGGAACAGTGTTATATATAAATATGCTATAAACACACGTGAAGTACACTACTTATTCTATGGAAAGTGAGGACATATAATAAAAGTGTCTACAAACATTACATTGGTGCCTCACCTGTCATGTCTCTGGCGGAGCCGACTGGAAATATGCGAATTCAGCAATTTTGATCATGAAAATGATTGAATCGTACAGAAATAACATTTAAAATACATATCAGTAGAAAAATATATATTTATTTTATTTAACCATTATTTGTTTTTTACTTTTGATGATGACAGGTGAGGCTCTTTCCAGGAGGTGTTCACTGAGCCAGGTTTCAGTGAAACACAGGTCAGATTTGAACCTGTGCTGCCCGCCTGGAGGGCCCCAGCCTCTGTACATTGGGCGTACACACTAACCAATTCACTACATGTGCCCCCAGATTTGGGACTTTTTTCAAAATGCCATGTTATCACCAGAAAACAGATTTTTTTTAAAGTATAGCTGCATGTCTGCAGATATAACAGAGTGTCATTTGTGTTACGTCTTTGATAGCACTATGAGAGATGGATGGAAAATGCATTCATGTCTTTTACTGCAACAGTTGGGCAGAAAAAGGTTTTAGTTTTTGGAGAAGGATGAGTTCAGAACATGTTTACAACTGATTGTCTTCTTCATATGTTTTTCTGCAGGTACGAAAGGATCATGTGGCTCCAGTCTACGTCATCAACCTTCTCATTTCCGACCTCATTCAGCTCTGCTGCCTGCTCATTGAGGAGACAAACCTGTTTTATCATCATTATCTCGTAACTTTGATCTACTTTGGTGGCCTAGTGATCAGTGTTATCTTCATGGTGTGTCTCTCACTGGAAAGGTAACTATACGTCCTACGTCTGTTTCTGACTTCAATGTTTCTGAATTATTCTGCACCTCCTCAAAAACAACATGTCCATCTTTTATTGCAGATATTTGGACATCGCCCACCCACTGTGGTACCGCTTCAAACGAATCAAGATCTCTGTGGTGGTCAGTGTCGTGGTCTGGCTCTCACCTGTTGTCATGTACCTCCCTGGGCCTGTGGGGTTTATTTTTCTTTTGGAAAGAAACATCTTAATTGTCTCCATCATTCCCTTCCTACTGTTCATATTCTTCCTGTTTGGGACCCTCAGAGCCCTCTCTGCTTCCGTCTCCGTCCCCTTTGAAGAAAAACGTCGAAATGTTGTAATTCTGGTCTTGGTGCTGCTCATTTACACTTATTTGCTGTTACTGCCACTCATGATTGTGTTGCTCAACAACCACTATTTCAGTACTCTGCGTAACTTATCTTTCATGTTTAAGCTGAGTCCTCTTGCAGACTTAATTCTGTATGTTTTCTTGAGGAAAGAGTCCATTTGCAAGCTTTGTACCGCTGTGAACTGGTGCAGAGTTGTCGACGCTGACACCAACATATAGACAGTATGAATGTGGACAACATTTTGACAGTGAGCTCCATGGAGGAAGAGAGAATGAGGAGACAACAGACCAAAATGTTCTCTCAGTTTAGTTTATTTCTTACAAAACTTTATTTGTTTAGCTATGTTGTTCTTCTTGACAGTTTTAATACACTTTCTACTCTTCTTAACTTTCTAATCTTCTGATCAATAAGAGCTTTACTTGTGCAGTTGTCATGTCAGCTTTTAGGACGTGAGAGAAGGTCCTTTATATTGTAAATGAAATATTATATCAGTCTCGCTCATTACATTTTATTAATACTATAACATTCAATAAAAAAAAATCTGTTTCAAAACAAAAAACGGAAGTTGTTGACTTATTAAAATCTAACAGACATTACATTTTGTGAGGCTCACTGAGTGTTTACCTTTTATAAACTTTGACTACGTCTAGTTAAGATCCAACAAGAATGCTAAATGTCAAGAACATTTCTCATCATGTCAGACTTTTTACTTCAACAATTTGGCTTCTGACAAGCTTTTTGGATACCTGAAAGATATCCCCCACAGTGACAGGATACATTGTCTTAGTTCACACCTGTTCTCTAAATAACTTAATTGCCTCTGTTTCAAAAATAACAGGCAATAAACAGTTAGAAATGAGAACAGTATCACCTTGAGGTTGGGCTTCATTTGACATGTTGACATAAAAGACACAGCCCACCACAGGGGGAGAACACATACCAGCATTAGTACCAACAGGTATATTCATTTACACATTTGGTATACACATATAAACACATCCAGTCAATAGTACCTGTTCTCTTTATAAGGGCCCCATGTTGTATTCCAAAAAAAAGTTTAAAAAAGTTTTGTCCCCCATGATACGATAAGGTTGAAAGATTACATGTGACTTTTTGGTACATATATAAGAAGATGAGACGATAATGAAACCAAATATCAGCTAAATCTCTATTTCAAGATCATGATCTGCATGTCCGTTATGATATCAGTTCTGAGAAGTAGGCTCTCCGGAAGATGTGCGTGTCATTAATTCACATGTTTGTTTTGTTGAAGAACACACTACATGTTCCTATAACTCATATATTTTTGTTAACTGGCACTCACTTTGAATCATCTCTTGTTCACAGCCTGAAGCTGCTTCTTTGGTGCACTCACTGCACAGATAAAGCTATGATGAATTCAAATCAGCAGGCGTGAATTCAAACATGTACCTAAACATTTAAATGAGGGAATTTGCATGGACACCCTGTTGTTGTTAAATGTAAGTAAACAAAGGACCTTAGGTGATAGGTTTTAGGTCAGGGAATGTGGCTATGATGTAATCTGTTTTTTTAGCTCTCAATCCTCATTTGTAATTATTAATTACCAGAAAATCAGATATTGCGTAGAGCTCAGTATTCATTCTTTCAACCTCCTTTATTTACTGTATACTTGAAAGATCATTGAGGGGCAATTCTCATTTACAATGACATTGAGTCATTACAGAATCATTTAAAGAGGACATATTATCCCCCTTCTCCACCTTTTCAAACAGTCCCCTGTGGTCTAAATGAAACATCTGTGCTGTGCTTTGGTCAAAATATAACATGAATCAAGATTCAAAATTTTTATTTGTCACATGCTCATACAGATGTGCAGTGAAAAATGCACAAAGTGAATCAAGCACCAGAGGAGGTTTGTGACCCTGCATAAACCAGCTTTCTCAGAACGCTCCATGTTGGTGTGTGTGTCTCTTTAAAGAGCCCATATTATGCCCTTTTTGGGGTTCGTATATTTAATCTATGTACCTACTTTTGTACGTTCACAATAGCTAAAGTTAAAGAAAAGTGTCTGTTTTCATGTACTGCTCCTCCTTGCTCCCTCTACGCTCTGAGTCCGTCAGCTGCACTCTGTTGAGCCCACATTGTTAGACCCCACGTAGGCCAAGTCTGCCCTGATTGGTCTGCCGATCCGCTCTGTCGTTATTGGTCAGTTGCTCAGCACGCGTCTCGGAAATTTCAACATGAGCTGCAGGGCTTGCCACAACGAGCCAATGGGCTCAGATCAGTGATCTCACACTGACAATGATGCCGCACTGACACATTTTTATCGAGGGGGGCTAGAACCGAACGTTACATGCGGCTAATGCTACAGCTAACAGGAGGAGGTAGGAGAAGCTGCGTTTCCACAGACTTTGAATTTTTGCACATAGATGTGCCTAAACATGCACAGGACACATGGAAAACAGGGGAGGGGATTTTTTTCACCAGAATCCCACTGTGACATCACAAGAGGAGCACATTTGAAACGGAGCATTTTTCACTGTGTTGTAAGACTTGTGCAGACCACAAACAAAGGACTGGATGAGTTTATTTCACATTTTGTGGGTCAGTAGACACTTAGGTTACCCAAATATATGTTCACAAACACTGTAGAAGTGGATTTTTCAGAATATGTCCCCTTTAAAGTTCCCATGAATCAGCTGGTGGAGAGCTTTGCTTGTTTTCTTTACAAACAAGAAACCATGGAGGGACTTTTGGATATTGATTGGTGTTAAAAAAGGACCATTTCCCCAAAGCGAGCATATTGCCATGACATCACGCCTGTTACTGTTATGTTCAGGTTTAAGCATGGGTGTACTTGTTAGTGTTGTAGGTCAAGTCCACACTAACTGAGACCAAGACAAACATGAGACCAGAGTGCTTTGAGACCGAGTCAAGACCATTAATATCACTGAATCATCATGTTGTGTGCATGTTGTGTGTCATTCTCTTAGACTGTAGATATGAATATGGTTCATTTATTTTTATGGTTTAATTCAAACTGCAGCAGAGTTTTCAGGATGTAACACAAAGTTGCAGTTATTTATTTGTAAAGTAGCCACAAGAGCAGAATTTTAAACTTCAATATGATATGCCCTCGTGCAATCAAATGGAAACCCTGCCCAAGTATTTGTGCCATTAAGACAGTGTGCAGGAGTTTGTTTGCAGTTTTTACAGGATTCATTCCTGCCTTACACACGTCTTCTTAAAGAGACAGTGTTTTAAAAGCTTTGGTACTTTTTCACTCTATTGATCATTATAGTCAAAGAGGTAGTGTCCTTTTTAGGCCTTGAATGGGAAACGTTGATGACCTAATTTGAAAGCTTTTAGTTCGCACTCACACTAGCCCCAGTTGTCTGAAGGTCGCTTGCCCCTCACCCCTCCCCCCCTCCCCCCCTCCTGTTTCCCCGCTGACCTGCGCTCACACTGCTCCTGGACTAATCGGGCCTGAGCACGGTTACCTCTTGTGCATAACATCGTAATACAACACATGCATGGCTTTTATGTGATCATGAAGCGTGCTATGGATAAAAAACAAAACAATTTTACATTTCTCTATAACGAAGGCTGTCCACATTGTGTACTCGTGCTTGTGCTCGTGCATGAACTGTAGCGTACCGAAGCACACCTCTTCCAAGCGTGCCAGGGCCAAAGAACTGAGCCCAGATCACTCAGATTCACACACCTAGTTTAGACATGTTAATAAGCGTGCTTCAGGAGGCCCAGAAAAGCTAACTTCCTCATGTTCCTCTCGTATGATTGGGCGTTAAACGGCTCCATTTTCAAGTCATATTGCTTGGCTTACCAAACTAGCTGCTAGCCATAGCTTCATATTTAATCAGTTAAATATGACATGTATGCTAAATGAGAGCAAATCAGATTTTATTTTTCCCACAATGGTCGAATCGTTTCCCTCTGGGGTTTTAAAAAAATAATCTATGTATCCGTCGATGGTGGCCTATAAACTCGAAGGTCTAAGAGGTCAAAAGTAGAACACAAAAACCGACTGAAAGCTTTCTTTCCCCCTCTCACTCGAGACAATGCTCGCTGCCCGCAGGCTGCTACTAAAGGATATGCTATTGCATCAGCATGTGCACAAGACATGAGAGATGAAGCCGCAACACAAGTATTGATTTTTGGAGTTCCTTCTGTTAAAACATGTAAAAGCTAAATTGACCAACAAGCCAATTTCCCAACGAGTCAAAGGAATCCTTTGGGGGGCGATTTTCATGGCAGATTTAACAGACGCACAAACCTGAAAGTGGTGGTGTAAAATCAGACCCTGGCGTCCCGACCGCCTCCAGGAAATTGATCCGATATTTACTGACAGGCCGACACTGAGCTGATCAGTAAACTGATATATCGATCAGAGCCTCAATAAGGAGTGGATCTGTCTCTTTATTTCAGATTCAAACACTTAAACTCACAAGGCGCACACTCTTACATATCAAGATGTTAAAGAGTATTTGTAGTAACAGGAACATTACAAGGAATTGAAACAACAACAGAACAGTTCATAAAATCATTTTTGTAATCAAACTATAAAAAAGCTGTACACGTTCAGCTTGTGATATGTTGGGCTACATGATGGGGTAGCAGCCGTACAGCGCGATGCCACACTGGTTCTTCTTGTTGCGTGCCATCCGGATGTAGCCCTTGTCTCCGAAACGAGCGCCCCAACTGTAAACGAATAGAGGAGAAAAAAAAAAAAGGTTGAAAGGTTTCTTTATAGTCTCCATAGGGAAGTTGGTTTGCAGCTGGAGACATGCTAAACTTATACATCTCTAATAAACAATCCACAAACATTTACTACATTAAACATTAAAGATCCGCCAAGATCATCCTGTATTCTTAGCTTTCATTCACGTGACCAGCGAGGGCAAAAAGTGCTCAGGAAAGTAGCGGCCCTGTTGAAAACACTGTTGAACTGCAGCACCTGACACCCGGAGTAAAACTGAGATATTAAAATACATCTTTTGTGGGGGGGGGGGATTGGGGCTCTTGCGACCCTCATACAGCTCACGGGACACTACTCATACCGCTAGAAACAGAAAAGTCCTTGCTGGTGTTCAAAGAGTGACCATGTTATCTGGTGACTTTCAGCCGAGTGCGTCTTGTTGGTTGTCAGACTTTATGAGTCCTAACGAAAGCTTCTCTGTTTAGCTTTCATGAAAACATATCTCACATGGTCACTCTTTTAACCGTAACACCAGAACGTCACTTCAGTGATGTTTGCTCATATTTAGAGGAGAATCCCTCTCCTTATTTTTGATAGGACCTGGTCAATAATGCTGCTGTTTGAGAAGTAAAGGGCAAGAAATTCTTCATCATTCAAGCATCCTTGAGCGCTAATTAGCTAACATTAGCTAGTTAATGTAAGCTAACAATATTATGACGTCCTTTAAAGGTCACATATTGTGCAAAATACAATCTGCCATGGTTCAATCATAGATCCTCTCCATCTTTAGCCTGCTCCACTTTTCAGAAAATGTGTGCTCAAACAGGCCGTTTGGAGGTTTTCCCTTCATGACATCACAAAGGGGCAGTAACCCCTCCCCCAGGTGGGTGACACTTCCACAGCTAGGTGTTTGTTCTACCCTCTGAGTCTGCCTTCTCACCGTAAACAATAGGACATGGAGCGAGAAAGCCAGAGGCACCCAAGCCCTTCCAGAGAGGGGGCGTGGTCAGACACAGCTCATTTACACATTTAAAGGTACAGACACAGAAACAGCCTGTTCTGAGCAGGGCTGAAATAGAGGGGTTTATAGGCATGATCAAATACAGGATCCGAGTGGATTTAGAAACTTCACACACATGTTTTGAGGAGCTCTGAGACTTATTTAACCTGGCTGAAGAGGAGGGGAATATGTGACCTTTAAGGAGAAATTATTAAGAAACACATCGGATTAATTATTAAAGCTGAAACTGTCCTGCTGACAATCTGAAAGTTTGGAGGTTTGTTTTCATGGAATAAGTTTCGAGAAATGAAACTCCTTCTTCTCTTTTTTTACACGGATGATTTCCCAACTCCGAGTTTGATGTCACATCAACCACAACACTGAAGTCAGCAAAATCACAAACCCTGTTTCACTTCCTGTGCGCCCCGGTACAAAGGTCTTACCTGTTCTTCACCAGCCAATAGTCCTGTCCGCTCAGAGTGCCGTAGCCCACGGCCAACACTCCATGGTTCACTTTCTGGGTGCAACTCTGATCATCGTAGACTCCTGCCAGGACGCAGATCAGATGAGAAAAAATACATCTGAATATATTCAGTCTTTTAATTACTGTATTGACTCTAATGGAGTCGAGAGGAGAGCGTGTGTGACCTACCACTCCTGTAGAAAGTAAATCTGGGCCGTGTGGCGTCGATCGCCACTGAAATGGGTCCGATGGTGGCGAGCGCCTCCTTCAGAGCGCCCTCGTCCCCCCTCAGGCAGGAAGCTGTACTGGGAGCAGTTGGCGGCGCGGTACTGGGGGTTGTAGTGGCACGCTTGTGACTAAAAGAAGAAAAACAAGCTCAGTTTAAATCACGATTTAAAAACACGATCTGTGTGAAGCCCGCCTGCTTGGATTAAAAAAGGGGAAGCTGCGTCACTTTGAAACATCTTCAGAGCGGTTTGATTTCTTCATCTTTGAGGAGTCTCTAAAAAGCTGAGACTCAAAGTGACTCACTGAGCTTAATAAGACAATAACTCACATCACAGAGAAACTTTTTGTTCTTATTTTTGAGTAAAATAAAAACACAACACCTCCGCAAGGCTGCTAAAGACCGTCAGGACTGCCCCCCCTCCCCCTCCCCCTCCTCCTCCTCCTCCTCACAAACACCAACAACAGCGATCCAAATCAAGCCTGCAGGACAAACACGTTGTCCGCTCCGATTAATTTATTGTTGCTCCAAAGAGACATTAACAGACGAGTCAGAAGAGTGTTTCCGTCTGCAGCCTGAGGACTCCGACTAAACTTCCTGAACACCCACATCCTCGTCTCCGTACAGAAAGGGATTTAGGGATTTTTACTAAAGATCTATACATTCCCGCTTAAAAAAAACAGAATCTCTATTTCTTGTAAACTGGAGTCACAGCGCTCAGCAATCCGTCACCTTTCACCTCCTTTTCTGAAGCTCTCATACGAGAAATAACAAGCGGTTCATTTTGTGCAGAAGAACGACGGACTGAATTCAAACATTTCCACCACAACGCCGAACAAACTGTGGAGCAACATGACCTCCTCTCATGCAGACATCGTCAACGAGCACAGTTCATCTCTGCATCCACAAAACCAAGCTGAGACTCAAAACAGTCTATGAACCAGATCCAGAAACACCGCTGTCTTCTCTGAGCCCGAGCTCCTTTAAGAAGGACCGAGGTGAAGTGGAAATCCGTCCCTGAGGTCAGACGAGTCAGAATCAGTCGGACGTTATGAGTCCTAACGAAAGTCGCTTTCATGAAAACATATCTAATAAGTATTTTTGACATTATGATGATATAAAAACTAAACAAAGAGGCGTTCGTTAGGATACATTCAGGCGCGTTTGTCTGAAAGTGGTCAGTTGACATGGTCGCTCTTTTAACCGTAACACCAGAACGTCACTTCAGTGACAATGCTCATATTTAGAGGAGAATCCCTCTCCTTATTTTTGATATGAACGGGTCAATAATGCTGCTGTTTGAGAAGTGAAGGGCAAGAAATTCTTCATCATTCAAGCATCCTTGAGTGCTAATTAGCTAACATTAGCTAGTTAACGTAAGCTAACGATATTATCAGGTCCTTTAAAAGGTCTTTAAACAGACTGTCTTTTTGGACCGTCTGGCTTCTTATCAGCGCTCAGTTCAGAAAGCATACGTTCATGTTTGGAGGTGTATTTATGCACATGGCATCGGTAACCTGCTCATTAGTGAAGGAAACATTCATCCTGAACCTTTTTTTTTAATGCCGTTATTTGAGAGAGAGGACAGTGAATAGAGTCGGAAATCAGGCCGAGAGAGGGATTGAGGAATGACATCGGTTTGATTGCAACCCGGGCCAATCGCTTGGAGGACTACAGCCTCCATACTTGGGGCGTGCAGACTAAGCACTACGCTAACGGCGCCCCAAACACTGATGGAAAGATGTCATAGTGGGGCTGCTAGCACCAGAGCTGTTTGGGGTTCGGTGCCTCGCTCAATGGCACCTCAGCTGAACTCTGGAAGTGACCTGGCACCACCAGTGACCTAAAAACTACAAATCCCACTGTTGCATCCACCAAAGTGCTCTGTGGATGGAAAGTATAGCAGCAACTTGAGTTACGAGAACATCAAATCATCAAATCGACTGAAGAGACAGTCTGTATAGCAGTCTGAGTTTCCGCTGGTCCTGGGTCAGAAAACAGTCCTAAAGCAACATTTTTTTTGGCACCTGGCACCTCTCCAGCAACCAGACAAACTTCCATATTTTGGATCTGGCGACCAAAAGTTCCCAACCCCGAGGTCCCTACAGACTGGGCTACTGCCGCCCCCAACTGAACCACATTTTAAAAACCACACTCTGAACGTATCACAGCAGCAGCGGTAAAAAGACGCCTGATGATAAACTGTCCATCCTGCAGTCCTGACTCGTCACCTGTTGAAAATATTTGGAGCATTACGAAGCTAAATTAAGATGAAGGAGACCCTGATCTGAACAGCTGACATCCTAAGACAACTTTCCACTTTCAAACTTTACAGAAACGGGGTCTCTCCTCGGTTTATAAAACACTTACAGAGTGATTTTTAAAAAAAGGGGAACACTCACCTGTCCCGTGTACGGGTACGCAGCAT